TTCGCATAATCAATATCAATATACTCAACACTTTTATTATTATAAAACAAAACAAGCTATTATATAGGCCTATAAAGTAATTTACAAAGAATTATGTACTGTGCTTCTTTATAATATATAAAACATTCAAGAAGTGTTATCTTGTTTTAACTTACATAATGAATATTCCAGTAGGCCTATATAAACAAATAGAGCTGCCTGTTACAAAATAAAGTAGGAGCTGAACTTCTTCTTGACTCTCACCTTGTACACTGAAAATAATAGTACTATATTTACTACATGGCTAAAAAAGCACAAATATGGTCACTACTACAACTGACAGGGCCATCGTTAAATTAAGTCAGAGCCCAAAATATAGCATCATATTGAATACGTCATCTGACATGATTTATTGTCTACCAAATGAAATATGAATTATATTTGAATCTTTAGAAATACAATTTCTAAAATATTAATCTTGTTTTTATATAGATAAATGTTCGATAAATACTATCTTGCATAAAACAAACGAAATTCAGCGCGTCTATTTTCATTCCAATCAATGGCGTTTGTAAACATGTGCACTGACGTTATCGTCGAATCCCAGGACTTTCGACGGCAATGCCTGCCTGCCTAGGTCCCAGGCCAACCAATAATAATTAACAAAATGTATTTTTTTAAATATAGGCCTATGGAGCATCCTAGTACATGCACTTCAACTTTTACAACAAAAGCCTAGGTCTAGTAGTACGTTCTACTGTACTTAAGCCTAGGCCTACACTAGTTTGATGTCGTCGGGATACAATTCTGTCTCTAAATGCAGCGTGACCACTAGGGAAAATCAAAATTCCCAAGAGTGGGTCTAAAAATTCCCAAGATTGCTTTAAAAAACCCAAGATTCTCAAAATATTCTTCATTTAAAAGTCCTTCATTTTAAAGCTTTTTCAATGAATTATAACCTGTACAGTATTTTGTACTGTATAGGCCTTAACGAAGTGTCTGGTTTTCGAGACCAGATGCCGTTGTTGGTAATTTTTTTTTTTTAAATTGTGAGTAAATATTCTTTAGTGTATTAACTGTAGATAAGAATTGTAGATAAATAATGTACATAAAATCAATTGTCGATGGAGAACGGCGTCAGTCATCTGATTAGTCCCATATTAATAGTACCGATATTTTGAATACTTCTCTTCCGCGAATTGTTTTATTGACAGTGACTCATCTAATTCTTATATAATCACTTTCAACATTTTGATCGAAATAGTTCACCATATCGTAAAATTTTGAATACTGTACCCACCCAATTTGTTGGCGATCCTCAGTGTATGTTATGTTAATGGAACATGTCATACTGTACAACAAGGGAATGTGTATTACAATATGCCAGTACGTATTTTTAGATTTTGACGCACTCCGTTCTGTTGTGTGTGACTGCTGTTGAAAACAAACTTCCTCATTTTGTGAATCGCTATGATGACTGAGTTGGACCATGTTGATTTATGAATAATATTTTGTTTGGGATGGAAAAAGGAGTCAATTTCCCAAAAATGCTCCATCAGCACATAGTTTAGTGTGGTCTATGGACAGTATGGCTATGGAATTTACTAACCACACAATCCAGAATCAAAAAGTCGCAAAACTTTAGCTGCATTTGGTGGATTAAGTCGCAAAACTTTACCTTCGTTTGGTGGCGCCATTTACTCTAGGTTGACGGAGACCGGTTTTGTTACTGGTTGGTACATTTCTTACAAACATTCAGCCAAAGGCCAGTGAAAGCTTTTATCGATGTTTGCCATCCTTATGTGAGCTATCGTAAAGTCATGGTTTGCCGGAGTTCAATTTAAATCTCCGAACTTCTGAAGCTGAGATATTTTATGAATGTAGGCTTGTATCGCTTGCTACAATTTAAAAACGGGTGACCAAATAATGAATTAGGTGCTAAATTTTGATTTAATGCTGGGTAAGTTAAAAACAGACATTCCGTCTGAGTGGGACTCATTCAAAAATTCGAGGGGGTTCGATAGAAAAGGGGGATTCGCCCGAACCATAAAAACCCCCCCTGGCTACGGGCCTGGACATGTGACAATCAGGTAGCACCCAAATCATTGCATCATATTATTAGTCACCTACCTGTGTTACTTGTCTGTGTCCTTTTGATTATGAGATTGTTGTCATCATCATCAGAATCTGAAATTAAATAATAAATTACATAATGTGTTTAAGGAAGTTAGCCGTTAACACTGTTGAATATCTGTCTCTTATACACATCTAGAGGCTACCCTGTAGCTTTTCAACGAATAAAGTCCTATGAAAAATCATTGTGTAATAAAATGCCTCCGACGGGATTCGAACCTGCGACCTCTCGCTGAGAAGGCGAGCGTCATAACCACTAGACCACGAGGGCTTCATGGTTGAACAGGTCCAAATACCTGTCGGGAACATTGTATTACACAATGCTATGCCTCAAGAGGGCGTTCAGCCAGATAAATCTGGAAATACGGCTAGAAATACCGTCGTATATTATATATGATATTGAAGGAAGTTAGCCGTAAACACTGTTGAATAAATATAATATAAATCATCAAAGGTACATATACAGTGTTTAATAAGGACATGATGGAACATCGTAGGCTACCATGTAGCTTTTCAACGAATAAAGTCCTATGAAAAATCATTGTGTAATAAAATGCCTCCGACGGGGTTCGAACCTGCGACCTCTCGCTGACAAGACGAGCGTCATAACCACTAGACCACGAAGGCTTCATGGTTGAACAGGTCCAAATACCCGTCTGGAACATTGTATTACACAATGCTATGCCTCAAGAGGCATTGCAACAGTGTTTACGGCTAACTTCCTTCAATATCATATATATATATTACCTGCTGTGTTATTTTACACAGAGGTCAACTAGTTCAAACCACAATATTGCCCATATATAGAAAAGACATTGAGCTTTTTTCCCCTTCTGAGCAGATTAGTGATGGTCATGAATTTCAAGGATCAAAGGTCTTGGTTAAGAAAAAATAAAACCTAGGCAATACTCTGTTATGGTTGTTTTCAACCAATTTCTTTACTCCCACTGTTTATCCATTTCCACTTCACTACACATTACCTTAAACTATGTACAGTATCTATCAATCAGCACCTTACTTGGTGCTGTTGTGAACCACATAATTGAAAAAAAAGTTTCATTTTAAATTACTTGTTTTAATTATAAGCCTAAACAACTAAGTAAAATACTTGCAGTTTGACCCCTAAGAAAATGATCAGGTAATTTGTGTGTCATAATTAATAATAATGATTATTAAAAATAATTGTATATTTCTTTTAATAAATAACTAAAGAGTAATTGTTAATGCCTAGCAAATTATTAATAAACAAAAACAAAAATTGATATTCCATACAATAAATACATACAGTAGTAATGATTTTATTTAAAAGGTCTTTGGACAGATGCAAGCATGTTTTGCGCATACTTAAAAATATTTTGCTAGATGCCTGTTCCTGGATATTGGCAGAATATTTTTAAACTCAAGGTATAGAGTAGCAACCTTCCTTATATCTGACATCACTGATTTCAGTACCTCAATATGTTTATCTTGTTTTCTTTTCATTTTTGTGTAGAGCGTTTTCCCAAACAGGCAAATAATTGGATCTTCTCTGCAGCAAGATCCAATCTCACCATCACAAAATCTTCTCAAAATTTGGAATTTAAATTCATCAGAGACAAAACTGGGTAGGGGTCTAAAGAGGGAGGTTGGTAACAGTGATGCCATTTCAATTCAATCTTTGTTGCATGCTTTTTTGTGGTGCCAAAAAACGTCTGCTATAGTACCCTTTACAGCAACTGCAAACTACAAGGGGTGTCTCTTTGTTTAGCTTTCTCTGGGTCATCAACTCTGAGGTCTTACCACTCTTTATTAAGTGTTCATTGTGCTTGTAAATTCCTTGTAACCTTAGCTTTGTTAAGACCTTTAATTTTTCTTTTTCAGGAAGTTTTAAAGCATGTACAATGTCAGGGGTATCTTTGTGTTTAGTCAACATGTGCCTGCTGAGTCTACTTTGAAGAACTCCACAAAACAGAAATGGTCTGTGGGGTTTGTTTTTTTGTTTAGAACCTGAAAAGAAATAGAAATTTCACTATTACAAAGAATTAATTTTAAATAAAAGGTTTACTGCATAATATAGAAAATAAAACTCAAAAAACATTTAGTGTTTTAAAGACTATAGTTTATATTGACAATACACTAGCTTTTGTGCACACAGTAGACTTCTTTTAGGTGAATTCGTTATTCACCTTGTTATGAACTCCTACTTCTTCACATAAATGCGATCGCCACACAGTTGGTGTGCATATAGCTCACACAAACAAAAAATGATTTTGGAACCACACATACTAGTGTTGTTGCTGGTGATACATAACCATAAATCTCAAAATCAATAACATTTTTTCTAGAGGGAAATGTTAATATGTTAAAAAAGTCAACATATTACAATGCAAAAGCCTAACCTGGTGGTTGTATAGAATCACTGACTGGTGCTTGGTCAACATTTTCACTATCTCTAAAATCAATTTATGGATAAAATTAACACAGGTAGTGAAACCAAGTTTTCATGAGTAATTTCTTTCTTATGGTTCATGTTTAATATGAAGATAAAGAATGCAGAAAAAAGCAAACACAAAACAAATTAGCAATATTTTTAACATGAATTTCTAAGGCAAGAAAGTGTATTATTAATGATGAAATTTGAAAAGTGTAGTGATTTCATCGAAACATGGTAATTTGTTTATTTAAAATTTAGATTAGTTGTGCTGAATGAAAACCATAAAAAAAGGAAGACAAATTAATAATATTTATATAACATATATTTAAAAAACAATAACTGTGTAATTAGAAAATAATATCCCTTACCTGGAGAAGATCTAAGAAAGGTATCAATGTCTGAAACAACCGATTCTTGATCAATCTTCTAACCATCTTTTAAAGGAATTTAGGGACAAAATTAGGACAGTGTAGCAATTTCGTTAAAGTTTGTAAATTATCCTCTATAATCTTTAGGTAATGTCATAATGGTGACAAAAAAAAAAATAAAAAAAAAAAATGTCTTATTTAAAATACTGTCAGCCACCTAAAATTACTGTGCATAATTCAAAACTGATTGAAGTTTAACAATACACTGAAAAAAGGAAATAAATTGTGATTTTACAAATAAAATTTAAAAATGACAGCAAAAAAACTATATATAAATATAAAAAAGATAAATATCTTGCATAAAAAACACTTAAAATCGGTAAAGAAAAGCCAAGAATGTATTTGACAGGATACAAAAGCCTACCTGGTGGTGATATAACAAAGCTTTCAGTGTCGGAAACAACAGATTCTTGATCAATCTTCTTACTACAGTATCTGTAAAATGAATTTAAGATTGAAACTAGGACAGAGTAGTGATTTCATTGAAATAGCTCTAAAAAGTAAAGTACAATGATACAGTTTGTCCTTTCAGTTATGAACAAGAATACCTAGCAAAATTTTACATCACAAAAGGTTATGTTGCATAGGGCCTAAGACCCAAAAACGAAAAGCCCTGTTGCTTTTCTCTTTTAATAAGAATAATAATGTAATAATAAGAATAATAATAATAATAATAATAATAATAACAACAAGTGCTAATGAAATTGAATTTCTATTATGTTCAGGTTGTGCAATCTCTTGTATGTTTTCGTTTAAATTTTATCGTATTTTAAACATTTTAAATTTGTATTCTGAATTGATTCTATATATATTTATACTGTATGATGTTTTTTATTGTAAATTCAACTATGTTTACTTAGTTGCTAAATAAATAAAGAATTTGAATTTGAATTTATTCACTTTGTTTTTGTTTTAAAGTCACCTTTATTGCATATATTTAAAAAACACATGTAGCTCAGACTAACAAAAAATGGTTTTGTAACCACACATGAAAATCCACCTCGAAATTCATAATTCAATAACATTTTTTTTCTATTGTAAAATGTTAATATGTTTTAAAAAGTGCAATTGACATTTACAAAAGCCTAACCTGGTGGTTGTATAGAATCATTGACTTGTGCTTGGTCAACATTTTCACTATCTGTAAAATCAATTTATGGATAAAAATAACACAGGTAGTGAAAACTTACTGAAACAAAGTTTAATTCTTAAAATTATTCTATGCAACATTAAGGGTACATAATAGATGAAGAATAAAGAATGCACAAAAAAACCAAATTTTTCTTTTGTTTTTTTTTATGCGCTAAAAAGGCTGAAATAGTCTACCTTGCTGGACGACAGACGATGCAACAGTTTAGCTCTTAAATATACTGTAGATATTAAAAATGGTCTATTTTGTATTTTTGTGTAATTTGTATTTTCAGGCATGATTGGATACAAAAAAAAAGAAAACGTTTTCCTACCGACCCACCCATTTCTTGGATTTCCCAACACAAGAATTGTTTTTGTCTTACTGTGCAATTTTCTTCGTAAACTGGGAGACCATGTCAAAAAACGTGAGAAAAAAATTGACCAGGCATCAGTTTACCAAAACGGGAGTGTATCCAACACCCAAGATAGGTATGTGACGGTCTATTGGCGGGGAGTAGTTATAGGCAAGTCAAGATGGTTAGCAGGACACAAAACCTTGTTTTACATAATAACGTTAAAGAGAAACGTGTTTCAAAAATCGACTTTGTAACATCTATTTCTTTCCAATACTTGAAAGCTAAAAACAATAAACACAATGATCTGGCATAAAACACTGAACACAGCGAACGCTCATTAGGGAATAAGCCTAGTCTAGCCTAGTTAGTTGGAAGCAAACAGTGCTAACTAACACAACAGCGCTCAATACATTTTGGCAGTTGATCAGTGGCGGCCGAAATCTACCTAATTCTATCTTATCCTAGGGAATCAGGCCCGAAGCGGCCGCGAACGAAAGCGGGAGCCTACTACTACAGGCCTAAGGCTAAGCCCTACAAGCCTAGCCACCCCCCCCCCCCCCCCTCGGCTAGGCCTAGGGCCTAGCCTAGTAGTAGTAGGGCTAGCAGCTAGGCCTAGGGCCTACCATATTTGTGCCTTGTTGGCTTGAAATTGAAGCAGTGCCAGGTACGTTTATGTAAGGCTAAAACTAATGTATGCAGGACAATAGCTTATGTCGTTTAGGCCTACTAAACCAAAAATAAAAAATACATCACCTTTCATAAACAACGATGACCACCACGATGCACTGCTAGGCCTAGGTGGCGTTAACACCACCTAGGCCTTGGCCTCCCTAGAACTAGCTGACCTTGTCTCATCGGCGCCCTCTACCAAAAAGTTATCTTTTCACGAAACTCGATCTTATAATTCATTTTTGCACGTAAAAAGTGGAAAATCTAGTGTCACCATAACCTCGCAAATTCCAGTGCACTTACTAATAACCGTGGTTTTAATTAAGGCGGTTTTTTTTTACATAGCTGTTTAAAACAACCACTCTTAGGATCAATTAGTGTTATCTCCGTACATTCTAAGAATAAAAAATGCTTATAGACCAGCTCAAGTATTGCAAGGTAATATAGATTTTGGACATCAAAATAATATGGCGACAGTTATTTGTCGCCTTTTTATTTTTGTCACCCTAATATAATGTTTTTATGTATAAAATGACGCCCACGTAATAGCAGTAATACAAATAATAATAATAATAATAATAATAATAATAATAATAATAACAATAACAATAACAATAACAATAATAATAATAATAATATTATTATTCAAGCATTTATATAATTATAGCGCTCTTTACCGGAGTCTCACGGCGCTTAAAAGTATGACTATGAGAAAAGTCAGTTTTAAGAAGAATGAATTCAGAAAGAGTTGGAGCATATCGGATGGTGGTGGGAAGTTAGTTCCCGAGAAGAGGTGAAAATGCATAAAAACCTTTGGGGACAGATGTTAAATTTGTTGTAGGTGTGTAGCCAATCAAAACATCACTTTTAGCCAATCAAAACATCCTATTCAATACCACTCGAAATAATCGAGCTGTATTTTTGGTCACTCTTGGATCAAAGCAAAAGAAATATTTTGTTCTTTAGAAGTGACTTGCAGATCGAAAAGAGCTAGAGATTCACCTTTAATTTAGAGCGAGGATTTCAGTCTTTCATATTTTGAGTGTAGCCTATAGCATAGGCCTATGCCTAAATTTCCTTAGCATAGGCCTGCCTATCATTTTTTTAGGGGGGGGGGGGGGTGGAGGGGATATTCTGATCTAGTTGTTATCATTTTTATCAAAACATGATTTATCAATATCATATAGGTCTATACTGCATTACATATAAGTTCAAAATATTCTAAATTATATATTTCTGAGAATTTATTACCACAAAATACAATTATTTTGAAATTATAAGGAGAAATATAATATGATCGATATAATAAATATTTTTGAAAATATTAACAGAATGCAAATGATTAAACGATTACTTGCCTTAGAAATGGTTAAGCAAATAGACAGGTTAGGCCTATCATTTTTTTAAACGTTTTGGTAATGGGTATAACATTTCACAAGTTGATGGCATTTCCACCCACTGGATTAGTACAATATGTCACTATCGTTAATAAGTGCTCAATCAACACGAAGTTTCAATCTGATGTGTAACGACGATAGTGGATGGTGATGCTCTCAATAACGTCCGTTCTTCTGATTGGCAGAAAGTGTGAAAACCTTTAGTTTGTTTTTTTTTTGTTTTTTTTTTGTTCTTTGTTTTTTTTTGTTATCGTGCCCACTGATCTCCAAACACCGAGATCAGTAGTCTTTATAAAGTAAGACTGGTGATTTTGCACACTTGTGTCACGAGCTGCTATAATCAAATAGAAAAGGTAGTACATTGTTGTAATTTTAATGTCATAAAATGATAGAAGTCTTAGTTCCGGAAGAGTTTGTTTACCCAATATTTTAGTTGGCCTATGTAAATTTTAAAAATTGCATACAACGCAAAAGAATTCCCATACACTATTTAGAATCCATAAAACATTTTAGTATCTATATGACATTACCAATATTATTTATACAGAATCCCAACAATATATGTAAAATATTTCTGTATAGAACCTTTAATAGAATTTATGATGTAGATTTTTTTTCTCATGAACATTATAAAATGCTCATTCTGCCAATTAACATGTCAAACTTTTCTCATAAAATTACCAGATTTTCTTCCTAGAATTCCTATAAAAAATTAATTTTTGTATAGAACATTCAACATACTGTGCTTAGAATTCATATAGAGTTTAATAGAATTGTACCGTACCGGTATACTTTCAATAAAACGTTTTTAATAATTATCTATATAGAATGTTTTTAAATTTTCAATACAATTTGTCTATAGAAATTTAACCAATGCACTTTTTTATTCTATATATATATGTATAATATATAAATCATGTAATGTATAAATCATCAAAGAAAGGTAAATACATTGTTCGAATAAAGGACGTAATAATACATCGTGTAGGATAGCTCGCAACGAATGTAGTCCTGTAAATAAATGAATAAAGAAATTGTGTAATAAAATGCCTCTGGCGGGGCTCGAACCTGCGACCTCTCGCTGTCATGGCGAGCGTCATAACCATTAGACCACGGAGGCTTCATGGTTAAACAGATTCAAATACCACCAGATACGCTCCATTACACAATAAGTACGGCTAGGAACAAATAATAGCATGCACTGAAATATAAATCAAGGTAGCCGTTAACACTGTTAAATTATATACATAAATCATCAAAGAAAGGTAAATACAGTGTTAATATATAAATAAATAAATAAATAAATAAATATATATATATATATATATATATATATATATATATATAATTTCCTTTAAGAAAAATTAAAACATTTAAATTTTTTTTTTATAAAAACGAGGCTCTAGATATAAATAAAAGAAAACGTATAAAAATTGCATAATAGAAGTTTATAGAAATGTTTGTTTATAATTTATAAATATTTATATTATTATATATTTCTATAAATTTGTATTCTATTCTATATAAAAAGCATTCTCACAAAACTAACCTATCAACTTCTATAGAATTCTATAAAAGCATCTTAAACTTCTATACACTTTCTGTAGAATTTTATGAAATATTTGACTATGGGTAGAAATACCGTAAGTATTCTCTTTTGAAAAAAGCAATGTATCGCCCTCTACCTCCCATGAAAGGTCCTGATGCATATTATTAAGCATATTATGCTTTGTATAATTTTTATCATGGCAGTTGTGATCTGTTTTACTGCCATGAAGGTGATATAGGATTGCTTATAGGCCTCTATAATATGTGTTATTACATGCCGTACAAATGTCATTCTCATTTTATTATATTGAGATATGATGATCAATAGATTATAATCAACACCTTCATCTACACATCCGCCTGACGAATATAGAAAAAAATGAGTGATTTATTTCTTTGAACTTTCGAACTATCTAATTCCTTTAATCATTTACAAGTCATTTGCACGAACACCAACTAAAATTAAAGCAATGAGTAGATGGAGTGCCACTTGACTGAGCCATTACTAATAAGATACTGTTGAGTGAAAGGTAAAATTCCAAGTGCTCTGTTCTTGTCAAACCGTTTGCGAAAAATATATTCAGGAGAGTACTTTCCCAAAGATTATTCCAGAAATGAATAGTGGGGATACTCCTTCCAGAACACGAATGAGTATTGCAGCTAAACATTGGTTTTGATTCATGCGAATCAAAAACCAAAAAAACGAATGAGTATTGCAGCTAAACATTGGGTTTGATTCATGCGCTGTATGGGCGGCTTTAACAGTTTTGGCATCGTTAATAAACTCCTAACTATACTTTACATTATAGGCTTGTACATCCTGTACCTTTGCTGATTTAAGGTAGGGTGGTCCCTGTTTTCTCATACGTCTATCGTGGGAGGCTACTCAGTAATATGATCCAAGAATTCAAATTGGAGAGGGGTATCCGGAGGGTGTAGACCACCTCAGCCTCAAGATGGCCGGAAATTTCACTCTCAGATTTACCTTTGAATTTAATTTACTATTTTCTTCATTAAAAAAAAATATTTTTGACGATTTAACGGGTGGGGTAGGCCTGCTGGTTCCTCCACCGCCTGACAATTATCACTGGCGGAGGCTCACCCAGTGTTCAAACCGTGCCGCCGCCTCTGGACAATTATACTTCGTAATTTGTAAGATAATTTTTTGTTTTATGACATGAATGACTTCTTGATGACAGTGCCAATCATTCTTATCGAAACCTTTTAGCAGCAATTACCTATTTTTTTCCCGTTTAAATTATACATAATCTCCCATTACTGTACTTTACGACGGCTTAGATTATGCTCTGAACGGTTAAAAAAAAAAAAAAAGTTCGGCAGATTGCCCCAACCGTGATTCAAACCCGGGACCTTTTGCGTAACAGCGAGACAGGGACCATAGGGGCGGGAAAGTGTTGGGTGCCCTGTATATATAACTGGGGTATTTTTGCCCACGAATTGGGTGAATTGGATGTGTTTGTGAGGGAAGATTTCCTCTCTGAAAAGAATAAAACGAAAAGAAAGACTGCATTACAGGTAATGCTTTTTTTTTTTAACTATGTGCGACTCTTCTATTATTTGACTACGGAATCTACCTAATGTTTACAATCTTCGTGCGTCTGTACATTTGCACAGTTTCATTATATATCGCTATTAATATGCATCATTACATTTTTATAAAAAAATATAAATGAATATTATAGGGAATCTTAAATCTTATTAACAATCACGCTATAGCCATCCTTCAAGACGAGTAGGGGGTACCCCTGTGTACTGGAACAGGCAGCCCCTGTGGTGGACGACGAGAGTTGCTGATACCGGGTTACCGGTTAGCACAGACACGAAGGGGGCCCTTAGGGGCGAAGAAAGTCATTGATCGAGTTCCTAGTCCACATATCAAGCGCCCTGAGTATCTTATATTAAATGGATATGTGCGCTATATAAACTACACTATTATTATTATTATTATTATTATTATTATTATTATTATTATTATTATTATTATTATTATTATTATTATTATTATTATTATTATTATTATTATTTTTATTATTATTATTATTAATTTATTGATAAGCCAGTAATTGGGCATTGAAGTTGCCATGTGCAATCCAACAACCGGCGCTACTCCCGGAGCCCAGTTGGTCCACATTTGCATACCTCGCTCCTGAAATGAATATTGTTAACTGGACATGGCTCTTAATACAGAAAAAAGACATAAAAGTATTAAAAGAGTGAGAAAAATT